TTGGTGGGGGGGGGGGGGAGTGGCATTTGGGACTGCAGATGTGAGGTTTGGATTGGCCCAGGTCCTGAATCGTATCAAACCAGGCAGGAGCTGTGGGCAGACGCTGGTTTACGCACACAGCAGCTGGAATGGCAATTCACTGGAATTAGGCCTGGCCATCCGGTGAGTAAAGGGTTAATTCGGATACCTCCCACGTGCTCCACGTGGAGCCCCAGCCCGGGATTCCACTGAGCTGTCTGCGCAGATGCCTGTCTCCCTCCGCGGCCGGACCAGAGAGTGGGAAGCTCCCTCTCAAAAGCGTCGGCTTCCTTCTATTTCCTCCAGTCTCGTTTCTTCCCCGGAACAAACTTCTCGCTGTTATCCTTCCCTGGCTTTTCCATCAGGCAAAGCTTAGCCACCCCTTTGTGCGCCCCGCGAGAGGGAGGCCCCCTCCCAAGATGGCGGCGCCGGCATGTGCCGGCGGCCTGCGCGCCGCGTGACGTGGAAAGCCCCCAGGATGGCGATGCTGGCGGAGCGTGAGTGTCCGCGCGGTAGGGGCGAACCATTGCGTTCCCGGGGGAGGGGGCGACCACTGCTCAGAGCCCAGGAACCTGCGGGGGGAAGCACCCTTGGGGTGAAAGATACCATGTGGGAGCGGGGGGAGAGGGGGGAAGCAGCTCCCTTGTAGAGGAAGGGGCTGGAAGATACTATGTGGGAGTAGGGGGAGCACCCTTGTAGAGGAAGGGCTGAAAGATACCATGTGGAAGTGGGGGGAGTACCCTTGTAGAGGAAGGGGATGGAAGATACCATTGGGGGGAGCACCCTTGTAGAGGAAGGGGTGGAAGATACCATGTGGAAGTGGGGGGAGTACTCTTGTAGAGGAAGGGGATGGAAGATACCATTGGGGTGAGCACCCTTGTAGAGGAAGGGGTGGAAGATACCATGTGGGAGTAGGGGGAGCACCCTTGTAGAGGAAGGGGTGGAAGATACCATATGGGAATGGGGGGGAGCACCCTTGTAGAGGAAGGGATGGAAGATACCATGTGGGAGTAGGGGGAGCACCCTTGTAGAGGAAGGGATGGAAGATACCATGTGGGAGTGGGGGGGAGCACCCTTGTAAAGGAAGGAATGGAAGATACCATGTGGGAGTGCCTCTCTTGGAAGGGTCCATTAAGCTTCTGGGGGAGAGGAAGAAACCATTATCTTTGGCGGGGTAAACCTCATCCCTTGTGGGAAGGAGCCCCCTGGAGGACAGGAATGTTGAGGCCTGGGCTCTACCAATGCAGCTTAGTGCGGCCGGGGGGGGGGGGGGATATGCTTGGAGGGGGGCCTGAGCGCCAGCGCTGTGTGGGGCAGGGCAGCCTGCTCTGGGCAGGAAGAACCGCTGGGTGAACTAACCCCAGCGAGGTGCGCGTCCAGTCTCCTGGACTGGTTAGGGGCTGGGGGGCATGACTAGAGAGTAGAGGCGGGGGGAAATGGGCTGCTTTAGTCTGCAGAAGGGAAGACCGAGGGGGGATTGAATAGCAGCCTTCACCTCCCTTCAGGGGGGTTGCAAAGAGGATGGAGCTGGACTGGTCTCAGTGGGGGCAGATGACAGGACAAGGAGCAATGGGCTCAAGCTGCAGCAAAGGAGGTTGAGGTTAGATTTTAGGAAGAATTTTGTCACTAGGAGGATAAAGCACTGGACCAGGCTCCCCAGAGAGGTGGTGGAGTCTCCATCCTTGTGGGTTTTTAAGCCCCAGGTAGACAAAGCCTTTCTGGGATGATGTAGTTGGGGCTGGTCCTGCTTGGAGCAGGGGGTTGGACAAGATGTGACCTCCTGAGGTCCCTTCAACCCTCATTTTCTACGTTTCTAATGACAAAAACAATCTGTAAAATAGGAGCTACATGACGAGGAGCAGCGAACATGAGTTTGGCAGAGTAAAGTGTGGTCTGACTGGAGGAACATCGAGACCACTGAAAAAGAGAGGGGGTCGTTACCACCTGTGATTTGGACGGGATTGGGTAGATGACAATGAGACGTGAAGTCAATTGACTCGCACAGCACTGCCTGACTAGAAATGCTGCTTCCACTGCCAGGGAGTTGGCTTTCAACTTTGGGTGGGGACCAGGGCAAATGCACAAGTATCTCTCCCCAGCTTCCCTTCCTCCCCTCCGCCTCCCAGTCTGCCCCTGGCGAGAGCTGTTCTTTTATTGCAGAGAGCCAGGCGGCACCAGGGCAAAATGATGTGGACCCTTTGGGTTCCTATGTGAAATCTCTTGTTTTACCTTATGAATCAAATTGGCCCATCTCTACCCTGGTGTGGCTCCCCACCGCCCCCTTGGAAGCATCTCAGCCTGCTGCGGCACCCTGGCTGGGAATCGCTACCTTCGGGACTCGGTACAGGCTCAGTTGCCCGTGTAGGTGGTAGTCGCATAGCACTCGGTGCAGCAGGCGGCTCACGCCATCTGCGATGCATTTGTCGTATGTGCCCTTTGCATTTGGGCAAGGGGGCATGTGCCTGGGGTCTCCAGTCCTTTTTTCTATTTGCTCTCTCTGGTTTTATTGTAATGCTGCCAGGTTGTGGGATCGAGCTCAGGGTTGTAGTCCTTATCTTCAAGGCACTCGGCGGATGCCCAGAGAATCTGCAAGCTTACTTAGAGCGTCAGGGTGAAGACCATGGTCTGCTTCTCTGGTGCAGTGGGTTCGGTCCCAGGTATAAAGCTCAGCTGAGCAGAAGACGGGTCCTTTTCATGGCTGGCCCAAGACTAGAAAGGAGCTCCCACCAGGACTAACACAGTCCTCCTCATCTTCTGCCCTGTGTGCATCTCGGTGACCTGTCTTTCCCCAGCATAACCATACAGCAGTGCATGTGTAGTGAACAGGAAATCTCCACTGCTCGCCCACACTTCTCCTCCTGGGTAGGGGAAAGGCATTGTCTGCTAGCCATGTAGCCCCATATTTAAAGGACGCCTCATTGTTCGGTGGAAGGCGCGTGCACCGACTGTCCTGTAAGAACTGACGTAGGGATGTAATGGAGTTGTAAGCTGATGGTTGTTATTGAGGCTCAACGATGTCTGTAACTTTAATTCTTGTCCAGGCCCACAGAGCTTTTGAATGCACATTTCTCTTTTCTTTTAACGTTACGTTTAAGGAAATGTGTGCCTGCAGGATTAGGGCTGAAATATGTACCTAGCTTTGACTTAGTACATCTCAGAGATGTACATCTGACTTTGTAAGAGTGGAACTGTAGGTGCACATGGAATTGCTGTATTTACCTGAATCGAAGATGACTTTGAATTTAAGACGCCCCTCCAGTAATTAGATTTTGTACGTGGGAGACTTATGTGTTTGTTATCATTTTTCATGTAAGGTCTCTAATTATTGGAGGGACGTCTTAAATTCATCCCCTGCAGCACTGCAGCGAGGAAAGCAGTAGCAGGGAGACAAGCAGCAATGGGAAGATAGGTGGGGGGCACCTGCCCCTTGCTCCCCACCACTTTCCCCCCTCTGTTGTTCCTTCTTGCAGTTCCTGTGCTCCTGGCACCTGTCCTCCCTGACTACTTGCCTTCTCCTGCTTGGCCCATCTCTGCTGCCCGCTGCTTACTCTCAGTCATGGCTCTTGCCCTGCTGCAGCCTGGGGCACAAAGCATATGTTGGCTCTGGTCCCCTGCCTAGTCAGACATCAGTGGATGTGACAGAAGCTCCATTCCTGGATGTAGGCCAGAGCCGGAGCTGGGAACGAGGCTGGAGCTGCCACCACTGCTGCTGTCTGGCTGGGCAGGTGCAGGTTAGGGCCAAAGCTGCATCTGAGGGTAAGTGGCCATGGGGAGCAGCTCCTCCTCCAGTTTGCTCCCCTGCCCTTTGTTTTTGAATCCAAGAGCAGGATTCTCCCACCCACGTTGAGTGTGGGGGGAAAAACCTTAACTCGGATTCAAATAAATGCAGTGTTTTAAGTGCAGTCTTCCCAATTGCACAGGTTTTCTGAAGTGCATGATGTCTGACACAGTCATTAACAGGTTCTGACAAATCAGCCCCGGGGTTAATGTTTATCCTTGTACAGGTTTCCCTTGCTTTATGCGGGTTCGGTATGTTCAAATTCGCTCTTATGCGATGACCCTTTTTATACCAAAAATTCATTATATGCAAGGTAAATTCACTGAAGCCCACAGTCAGCTGCTTTGTGCGGTGCATTGTGGGAGTGACGCACACCAAAATATAGTCTCCTGTGTGGATCTGTGCTCCTCACTCGTGGTCTGCGACGTGTTTCTGTAGTTGCCATCCCCATTATGACTTCTAAGCGTCCTGCTAGCTTATTTCCTACCCCTCTCTGCTGAATGAATAAATGAATGCATGCAATAAATTAAATTACACTTGTTATATGTAAACTACACAAAACTAGTAGAGAACAGGCTGTAGTTACTTTCTGAGAAATGTTCAGAAATGGCTAAAATATTGGTGTTTATCACTATTTTTTTCTGATGTGAAATGTCCTTTTTTCTTTCTTTTAGAGCATCTTGTAAAATAGCTCTGCACCACTCGCTTGTCTTGTTGTGTGTCTGCTTCTTGGGATTATTTCAATTCTTGATGAGTTTTCTAACTTGCGGGTTCCAAGATACTTCGATTCTGTGCACCATGTCTTAATAGAAAGGCGTTGCTAGGAACCCACTCTTCGGTGGATAGAAATTGAATTTCATCTCTCTCTTTTTCATGTTACTGTCGCACTTACGAGCTCCAGTCATGCTAAGACTCACTTGAGCAAAGTGCTTTAGATACAGAAGAAATAAAAAAGGCAGTCCATGTCCCAAATCACTTCGAATCATAGTGGGAAGCAAGAGGCCAAAGATGAATCAAGACAGGTTTGTGAAAGGCCTTTTATCAGTGGTCACCAGCCAGTGGATCTCGACCGGCTGGTAGGTCTTGCAACCTCTTGGGGTAGATCTTGGGGTCGATCCAAGACTGGGGCGGGGGGCTGAGTGCCCGCATGCATGCACACATGGACCCCAGCCCAGCAGGTCAGTCTGTCGGGGAAGGAAGGGATGGGGGCCATATTGAAGCCCCCATGGTGAGGGACAGTGCTGCAGAGGCAGAAGCAGGGGTAAGTTGAGTGGGGCCCCCGCCGGGTGGGACTTACCTGCTGGAGAGCCGCGTCCTCAAATAATATTTTCTCCCTCTGCCTTGATCTGCACCCCCTCTTCCCTCTCCATAGACCTACCTGCTGGGCGGGGGGTGGCAGGGGTGGTGCACGGTAGGTCTTGGGTTGCTTTTAAACGCCAGACGTGATCTACTTAAAAAGGGTGCCTTATATGATGGGTTTGGTAGCCAGATGCTGGGCTCTAACCTGGGAGGGCCTTCCAGTCCTAGGTAGATAGATAAGGCTGCGCAAGAAATGAATACCACATCAGTGCCTCGCCTGTCTCTCAATGCAGTTTAGCAGCTAGAACGAGAAGAGGCTGCACCACTTCAGCAACTGCAGAGAGAGAGCTGGCTGCTCTCGAGTGCTTCCTGGACCTCGGTTTGGAGTCACTAGTTCAGTGGTTCTCAGCTCTTTAGATCCCCAGGGCTGCTTGTCTGCAGTCAGTCTTCTCATAACCGCACGCACCGCCTCCCTTGTGGTCCTCTTGCCAGCCATGCCACAGAGACACCCAGGCTCTTTACACACGCTAGTTCCAGAACGTGAGTGGTATTTGTGTGGTATTGCTGAAGAGAGGACTGTTAACACCTGGCCACCCCTAATCTAGCCCAAACCCCTGTTCCAGGCTGGGTTATCCCTGTCAAAACCAGGCTAGGTGACTTGCATCCTGTTTCTAAAATCCTCTGGGGACAAACCTCACACGCCACTACCAGACGGAATACCCCAACCATCAGAAATGCCCTTTAATTTGCTGTGGATAAAGCAGCAGGATGCAGGTACCACCAATATTTAGGAAACGGCACATCTGCAGCAGGCTGGTGTCTCAACATAGTGTTGCCTGACACTTGGGGATCATCCAGGGTGCTTGGGTGGCCCCCCTGTGCCATCTCTGAGCCAGTGTGCTAGTTCACGTCCATGTTTAGGGCTGCATTTGTTAGGTGGGACATGCTCTAATGACTTCCAAGCTCTGAGTTGGTGACAAAGCAGAAGTGTGCGACTGAATGAAACATTTTTCCCCACTGGGTGGTGCTGCTACCCTGGATAGGATCTGTGTCGCCATAGCATAATTCCCCAGGTGCAGCTCAGTACAGCAGCGCGCCTGAGCTGAATAGCTTGCAGCTGCAGCCCAGGACGTAGCTTTCATCTTCTTCATAGTTTCGTAGATGTTAGGGGCTGGAAGGGACCTTACAGATCATCGGTTCCAGAGAGATAATGTCTCTGACAAACAATACCTGAACCCTCCTTTCCATAATTCCTTTGTGGAAGTGAGAACGATGGGTTTATAGATCTAGCACCAGATCTGGAGTTGAATCCTCTTTCTGCTCCTGTCACAGGCTTCTTTCTAACTTTAAGGAAGCCGCTCTTACTCTGTGCTTGCGTTTTCTTATATGCAGAATAGAGGGTGACGTGCACCTTCCTTGCAGGAAGATGAGGATGAATTCACTAGCATCTATAAAGTGATCGGAGACCCTGGTTTCAAAGGTGCAAAGAAGGAGAAAATGCTAAAAATGACAGGCCTGCAAGGCTCCTGTGTTAGATCTTAGGCTCTTGTTACCTGGTAGCACAAGATTTAAAAAGCCTGCCTACAGTAGGAAACAGTCCTCACCTTTATGGCACTATAAAAATGTTTATGGCGCCTGTTTATGGTGCCACAGAGACCAAGCAAACAGACGTCCCCATGCCTTGTCTTGACACAAATGTGCAAAGTCTTGCTCTGAAGAAGGTGGCATCAATTTTTGCTGCTTTTTAGTGGTCTGTTTGCTTTAAGGTGGGAGCGTGAGCAGCTTCGAGCTGTCTGCGCTCTCCAGTTGCCCTGAGTGAGCATGGCAGAGCTTTACTGCAGTCCAGCAACTAGGCATCCCTCTGTTGAAGTTCCCTGAAGGACTCAATCCATTGGCCTTTTCGGAGCCCAGCTAACGAGGTGACGGGATTGAGTCCCGCACCCAATGCAGTCGTAACCCTGTTTTCCACATCGGAAAGCCAGAGCAACTGCTGCTGCCCCCTTTTTATATAATGGCCTACTGGTTAGGGTGCTTATTTGGGGAGTGGGAGGCACAGGTTCAGTTCCCTCTGTTGCCTGAGGGAATTTAAATCCACATTTCCCACCTCCCAGGAGAGTGCTCAAACACCAAACTGAATGCTCTTCCCGGGGAAGCTGATTCACGTGGTGTCATCAGGATTCATCAGACTAGACCGCGTGTGACTGGCTGCACCGGTGGTTAGGGCACTTTCCTGGGAGATGGGAGCAATGGCTTTGCATCCCCTTAGGCCTAGTTGGGAATTGAATCCAGGTCTCCCACACCCTAGGCAAGTCCTCTAACCACTGAATGATTTATTGGGTGTTGCTACTGTGCCATGTCTCATGTTGCAGGCGCTCTCCTCCAGCCAGATAGGCAGAGGATCATCCAGTTTGTAGATTCCTATGGGGCTTGGATGTGGGACAGGAGACGAGTTGCTTAGGACTGTCATGACCGAGGTTCTTGGGGGCCTGCTCAGAAGTGGAATTTGAAGCATTTGGGGAATGCTAGTGTTGATTATTCAGACTGGATCTGTGCTGTGCATCTGGGGAAATTTGCACCATTGCTCCAGATCACGTGTGCCAAACCCAGGTTTGCAGCAGCGAAGCTCCTCCATGAGGATGGGGGGCATCCCCTGCTCTCCATGCCTTTGCCTCTTCTGTGCTTGGGAGCAACCGGAGGGGTGCCCCCGGGCTGACTGCTGTGCTTCTGTGTTTGATGAATGCAAGCTGGGCTAGGCTGGGAGACTGGGGCAGTGCAGGTATGGCCTTGGGAGACTATACACTTCAGCACGGACAGGGTAAGGTGGCATTTTTCACAAAGCCAGCCTGACGATGCAGGCGTGCTCTGAGACATGCAGGCATGTGCCCCTAGACAAGATAGGCAAAGGATCATCCAGTTGCAAAGGGCTTGTGAAGGTCTAAATTTTAGACTTGGGTGCTGAAGTCCTACTGTAGGCATTAAGGTCCTCAGATCTAGCCCTTGTTCTTCTGCCCCTCAGTTCACCACCTACAACTGGAGCTAATACTCT